ATCGTTGCTACGGACAGTTTCTCGGACAGTTTGCTCTTCAGTTTACGATCAGCCCGGTTCCATGTTGTGTAGAAAACTGGCTTAATTTTTGTAATAAAACTAATGGGCTTATATTTCCCCGCAAATCGAATCGTAATTTTCTACTCTGTCAACGTCGTGGTCGCCTAGCATGCCAAAATGTTGGCAGTCCTTTTTTACTACCAAATTTTAGCCTACTTTTGGCATTTAAAGGAGCCAAAAATTGGCAGCCTCCTAATGTCTGCCAAAATTTGGCAGCCAAAAAGGACTGTCAACATCCTGGCATGCTATGCGACTACGGCGTTAATAGTGTAGTTTTAACTGAAATTTGTTTTGTTTGATTTCCAGAGAAACTGTAAACTATACCGGGTGTAACTCTGAATGCCCAGCTGTGTTGCCGGTTTGCCTACTCTTTACACCCGTAAGGGGCCATGGCCCTTCCGGCCGTATTGAGTATGCAATCCCGCAGCACTGTTGCGTATTCACAGTTACACCCGGTATGATGATAGTTTAATTTGTTGCAAAGGTGTCTTTGCAGTGTACTATGTTTATTCAAATTGTTTGTACGTTGGATGTAGAGCATTTGTTCATAACAAACTCGCACTGATTATAGTGAAAACGATCACCGGGGACCTCCTGCCCTGCGCGACCCAGTCTCGGTCTAATAGTACCGCATTCTCTCCGTCCCTGGAAGAGATAAAAGGTACAAGTGAGAGTGTATACTCCCCAAACCACTCGAGTGCTATCGACCGCGTTACTCCTAGCTATTTGTTCTGCGACCTCCTACCGATCTCCCGTTACCGACTGAATCGGAAATCAGCTGGTTCCCCATTCCTTTTATAATAGTGCCCCCTTCCCCCTCCCAGTTCTCCGCCTCTCAGCCCGTCTCGCTGGCTCGCCTTTTCCTCCTTTCATAGTGCTTCTCGTCGCATGAACCTCAACAACGTCGGGACTGTGCAAACGCTTTGCAATTGCGATAGACTCAAGGGCTTTTGCAGATTATAAAGCATTTTCTTTGAAAGCTGCAAAGAAAGGTTTGCAATTGCAGAGTTAACGCTTTCCTTGCAATGTACGTAACGGTACGTAACGACAACCGTTTACAGGCTTGGTGGGAGTATTACAGTTTTGGGAGTTTGGTGTTCTTTGTCAGAGCCCTCGACGATCAGGTCATCTGTTCCTTCCTCTCGTGTCTCGTGACTAGAACACTGCTGCGTATTCACAGTTACACCCGATACTCGCCCAATACATCATGGGAGTCAGAGGATCAGACGAGCTGAGCTCTCCTAAAAACAAAGCGCATGAATCCCGCATTCTCAGTGTCTAACACGAAAGCCATCCAGGTTTGGCGAGCCCAAAGTCCTCGCTTCGACATGAGCGAGAAACATATCGAGCATGAACGGAGCAAGTGGCCCTGTCTCCTGCGACTGCCCCGCGCGGAGCGCCTGGCGAGGCCGGGTAGGCCACGCGCTGGGCAGACGTGCTG